CCGGGGTAAACTTTACAAACGCAAACGCCCAGCTCGTTATTATCCCGTAATCCTGGTGTTTTACATTTTATGAGGATACGCTTTGGATGACCCGTTACCTGCGACCTTCAATCTTACGTTATTACTACGTATGCCCGGTCACCGGCACCCGCTGCGCATTATTTTACATAAATTTCACGACTCGCAACGCGTTGCACCCGAGTAGCGACGATGATACTAACTCGATTTTACACCATTTATGTCGGTTACCGTGAAACCGGACAACTTTCTGTAACGAGGGACAAGGGAAAAGTTCGTAATAACGAGCTAAACCGAGATCGTGGAGCGAGATCGTCGAACGAGAAGAATCTCGACGCTGGGGGATTAGCGTGCAATTTCCACGTGTGTTTTGACAACTACTCCGCCCACGCGTGTTCTCACGCACGCGGGCGATTCGTGTATGCACGGCAACTCGCTATTAAGTGCATTAGCACGCTTTTAACGTCGGCCGGATCGCGTTTATGGGGTTCTGCACACGGTCACGGGGGCCTGCGCTCGCGTGTACGGTGGGTGTGTCTGCTTTCATTCTTCGCGCATACCGGACACGTGGCTGGGGCACGAGTTTTCTAGACATCGAACGGTGTTGGCCTTTCTGCTTCTCTTTATTCACCCCCTGATTGGCACTTTAGAGCAGGATCGCGACACGTCGCATCGCGGAGAAAGAGGACACCGGTACGGAGTCGAAATCGTCGTCGCTCACGTGTTCCGTCCACCGCGACGACTCGTGTCACTCCCGCTTTCCAGGATAGGTTTGCGCGAACGTTCTCGTTCGACGGTATAATTTTCTACCCTCGCGCGTCTTATCAATTTTCTTATGCTCTAATGTTTTCCAGTAGCGCATCACGGTCAATTAATAGGAGTCATTTATAAGGGCAAACCGGAGAATCTGGGAATCCGCAATCCACCGGGGAGCAATAAATCTCGAGTCGCCGAGCGGGATGGAAACGGAACCCCTCTTGTAAGCTGGTTGTATTGTAGCTATTACCGAGCCATGCATCACTAGGTAACAACCGCACGGTTCACTATCTTCGTCTCTTTTTCCCTCCTTTGCGACTCCGTCTCTGTCCGTTCCTCCTTTTACCCTGTTGGCCCCCTCTCCTTTCTGCCCTGTCGTTCCGTTTCCCCGGAGGAGAGCAAAGGACGCGACGCGCAGAAAAACGGGACCGTCTGGGAAGTTTCGCAGCTGATATCGTGCATGGACCACCCAGGTGTGCCCCGTACTACCTTTCGTGGAAGCGAGCATTGGGGTGTTTCGACATTAAGAGAAATATTAAGCCACGCACGACACGAACCGTGTTGCGTGAGCAAAGTGGACCGACGAACTTGCTCGACGAGCGGAGTAGTTTCGAAGATGTCCATTTATTTTGATCGCGTCCCGGCGTTCCCGGAATTCGCGCTCGAAAACTTTTGACACCGCGAATCAGGGTGAAGACGGCAACGACCGATAGTAAAAATAAAGGAAAGACTAACGCGGAGAATCTGGTGTACGCGAGACACAAGGGCGCATGCAAAAAAAGTAAAAAATAGCCAGGGAGGAGAGAAAGAAACGGGAGACCGGAAGGGAATTCACGTCCACCGGCATAGTCTCTCGTCGGACGAGCGTCGGTTCGAGGAACAGAACAGGGTGGCTGCACGGGATGGTTGTCGAGGGGTGGCTTGCCGAGGGATGGTTGACGAGGGTGGTACCTGCCTTCTCCTCGCGCCCTCACCGGGCGCTATAGTAACAATACGGGGAAACATAGGGAAATCAATATGGCTTCCGTTGCCCTCTTCCCTCTTCTCGTCTCTCCCTGTCTTTCATCCTCTCGCTCTCCTGGTTCGCTCAGTCTTTGACTCTCTCTACTCTGCCTCCTCGTCTCCCGCTTCGTACGCTCGCTTCCTCTCCTTCTAACGCGCTTTCGCTATCCCGCTTCCGTCTCTTTCTCGGTCGCTCTCCCCGCGCTCAGCGCG